TACTTAAAAGATATCACATTACAAATTACCAGGGTAAAGTTGGGATCTTCACGCGGCTGAACAGATAAAACAGTATCAGAAATTACAAAAATGTTTGAGCACTAAGTCACTTCAATACTGAATACTTTCCGCACTCATAATACACACAAAGGCACTATAAATTCTGAAGAAAGACCAGACCGAATTTAGATATGAACCATGAACAGCCGTGAGAAATAGCGGAAAGATATAAGGATGCAAAAGAAACTAGGAAACAGCATCTGATACTCGAATCTATGAAGGGCAATAGAACAGAAGGAATGCCAGTAGTAAAGAACTAAATGAAATAAATTTATGCGAAGTTAGTCACTTAGTGATCTGAAAATGAAGAAATGGTTCGAGGTGATCTTCGCGGGAGACAGGCAAGTTTCCAAACTTTGTGACTATTCATTTTAAGACATAGGTCATGAAGGAATTTCTGAAGTTGTTTACTGCATGGATATGCAGAAAAAAAAATTTATGATTTGTCTAAGCTGCTGTCAACCAGAAGCAAGTTGAAGCCTGCTGCCAGTAGTATGTAAACTTACAGTCAATCGATTCTACCTTTGTGTATCTGGTTTATCAAATTCCGAAGACAGGCATGAGTCGATTGATTTTCGGACATCTTATATGTAATTTAATTTCATCATCACGTGAAATGTTCCTATTGTTTCTTTGTGTACTCTGTGTAAATTTATCTCTTATTCTTCATGCGCCTTATCCAGGACAATTTGTTTTGGTCTTACCCATGAAGAACATTGCAATGAACTTTCCATAAAAAAAGGAACTCCAACTATCGCTGAAGGAAAGTGCCTGAATGAGGAGCTTCCGCATGGCTATATATCATATAAACAATCACAATCATAATAACTACCAAAAAAGAAAAAATATGCACATCTACAGGCAAGTGAAATCAATAGAATTTTATATCTCGCTGCATAAACATAAAGACCGAAAGAAATAAAAACTTAATGCTTGAATACGAAGAACTTTAGGTTTTGCAATGATGGGATAGTCGAACAAGATATGAAAGGAAAATAAAGCACACGCAAACATGATCATGCTGATAGTGAATACGCATGAATATGCAGGAGAAACACTGACCCTAAAAGAAAGGAGAGGACATATGTTACTGGTAACAGATATTACTAGCATGCAGAACAACAGATGAGAATTCGTGACTACCAGAAGAAAACGGCTGGATACAGACTTGTGAGAAAAGTGAGAGACAGATCCCCAGCGAAGCCTCTGGCTATGCATGTTGAATAACAGGGAAGACAAAAATGGAATGTTGGTTTGTGAAAAGCGAGAAAATACAGGAAACGATATAATCAATTTGTCAAAGAATTACTGTCTCTGAGGCTTTGTGGTGCTGGAAGTGGAAAAGTGAACAGAAGAACAGAGAAGAACAGAAGAACAATGGAAAACCTGTGCGGGTAAAAATTATCAATCTGCTACTGAGCAAAAACTAGCGTAAATCACTTTATTGACGAGCAGCAGAAAAAGTACCATTTCGACGAGGCGTTCGACACTGGTGCAGCTGATGGGCATAACTGGGAAAGGCATCACAGCGGGTGGTGCAGGAAAGGTCTTTGGCGACCACATTGCACCCGGCTGCATACACATCATATTGGGAACGGCATTGTAACTGCAAGGGGACGCGTCGAACGGGGGAGTCGAGTACATGGATGGTACTGGTACTGATGGTGGAAGCGGCGGGGGTGGCGGCGGTGGCGGCGTGACGGCGACGCCTGAGTTGTAAGGCGCA